AGATGTCAATTTGAAAATAAAACTAGATTTTATTAAAAACAAAATCCTAAGACTTCTAAATGTGCTGGCACTTGGAAGCAACCAGGCTCATTGAAAACGTATATTAAAGGAGCTTATTGTGCTCTAACACATGCTGTTTCTAATGTGTTTTAACATAAGCAACATGTAAGGCATTGGGTTAAACTCTCCAGCCAGTAAAGAGGATATTATGATTTGCTGGATTGCGATTTGGCCAGGTACTATACCTGAGGGTGCACTATTCTTGAAAATACTAGTGGTATTAACATTTTAGCATGGTAGTCATCGAGCTGAAATGAAATAGTGTTGTTATATTTGGATTCATCATAAGATGGGTCTTGCAATATGAAATACAGCATTTCCTGGCTTATTAATGAAGGGTAAAAAGTTGTTTTCTCCCTTTTTTATTTCTTTCCTTTTCTCTTTCTTTCTGTCTCTCTTTCCTTCCTTCCTTCCTTCCTTCCTTGACTAGCACTACTATTGTAGAAACGTTCTGAGAAAAAAGTTTTGTCGCTGTTCTGAAATGCTCAGCAGGCTCATGCTGAAATCAAATGATAAAAATGCCACCAGGCCACACGGTGTCTGTCGCACATTAATTCAAATCCTAAGGAGGAGACTCTGTGCATCCATTCTGGCACACGCTCCAGATGCAACCCAAACTGCTAGTGTGTTCCAAGAAGCACCACAGCTGCAGAGGCTTGCATGAGTGAAGGAAAACCACTGCTATCATGCCTGATACTGCTTCATTCTCAGCTTCTCTCTCTGTGCTTTCCTAGAGCATTACATCCGTCCAGGAGCAAGAGGCGAAACAGGAAGGAGAAGCCACTCCATTCCCCTAGCGCCTCACTACCTACAAGAAAGACTGCGCAGAAGTAGCCAGCAACAGTCCAGCTGTTTCTGCACAGGAGGTGATTTTACATGGTAAGCAGTGGTGTTTTTGTTTCGGATGAAGAGCTAAAAGATGCCATGACTCAGCTTTTAGCCAGTGTTTGTGATGGACACAGGGCAAACCACAGAACCGTATCTGGCCACTAGATGTAGGTTGGCGATGCACAGGCACAGGAGGAGGAGAACAAACAAGTTGGGACTGAAAGTGCTGCCCAAGGTTGTGATAAGAATTGCTAATGCTGTAATATTTACTGCTGCTGGACTATGATCTCTAGCTCCTGAGCAATATTATAATGATAATGAGCTTTGTCGTTGGAGGGGGGTCTGATTTTGACTTGCTAGAATTGACTTCACTGCTTTTCCAGCAGAATTGCCTCAGTTTGTCCCTTAAGCCCATTAAGAGTCTCTGATAGATAGAATAGACAGGAAAAGATACTTCCCTGCTAAAAAACAGGCAGATTAAAAGCAATTTGAGAGAGATTTTTGTGAGTAAAACAAGATCTGAACACTAGCAGCCCCACAGAAATATTCAGGACTTTCAGTGGGTATCATTGCCACTGAGGGGGAGACTGGGAGGAGTTAAGGAGAGCAGTTAAGGAGAGCTCTAGGGAAGATGACACCACAGGAAAATGCCAGTTTGTCTTGTCCTGAGGCCTCATTCACATCTGTTCAAAAAGGGAGCACGTGTAGAGATGGTGACAGACTGCAGGACATAGGAAGAGGCCATTTCCTAGGACTCAGAGAAAGCTGTCGAGTGAAAAGGAATAGAGAAGAGCCTGCCTGGTTTTAAGCAGCATTCACCAAGGGTAGCATTTTATCCTAAGTGTGATGTACTGCTTTATTCTGAAACAGCTGGATCACTCCAACCACCAATTCAGCTGCTGCTGCTAACAGCTACCTCCTCTTTTCTAATCCTTTCCTGCTGTCTATGTAAAAGTATGGGCACAAGCAAATGCCTCCTTAGACCACACACGCAAGAAGCCACCCATCAACATTTCCTTACCTGAACTGGACATCTCCAAAAAGACATCAATTTGGAGCTGTCTAGTTCTTGTGGTGGAAGCCGCCCAAAACTATTTCACCACAAAGTATTAGCCTTCAACTCATACACATTAGCCTACAACTCATATACAATTATAACTGCTGTTATAGAAGACAAAATACTATATTATTGCACATAATCCAAGGAGTTACTTTTTTGAATGAATGAGCATCTTATGTTCTTGAAACAATTGTTTCTTTGTTGGATAGTTTTTTTTTTTTTTTAAAACTGTTATAATCCACTTTTTCTCATTATGTGAGCAAATGATGATTGTGCACCCTCACCTCTGCTGGAATCAAATGGAGGGCCGCGTGTGATGCCCTCCCCTTCATGTTTCAGGCAGTGAACAAAATCACTGTGTCAGGCCGACCCAAGAAGAGGAGGTGGAATTGCATCTTGTCCTGCTGGTCAGTCACACCACTCTGTTCTTCATGAGTTTATTAGCGTACCTTTTCCTAGGAGGGCTAGTTGATTTGATTTGTAAAGCATGGGGTGAATGTAATGTGAAGTGGCGACTCATGTTAACTTCCTGTGAAGTGGTTCATAAATATACTGAGCGCCTTATGCCAAATTAGTTCAATCTGCTGCCAAGCTGAGTACTTAAAAAAAAAAAAAGATTTGATATTTGAATGACACAATCCACAGCAGCAATTAATAAAAAGAGATTCTCTAGGTAAATAAGGCCCACAGGAAATATGAGATTACTTATCATCCAGATCACACAGACATTTGCCTGCCTGCATTTTTCCTTGTTACACCTTCACCGTACCGTCACTGACCTGCGATAAGGGTTTCTTCTGTCCACAGTTTATGCCTCCAATGTGAACCATATTGGGCATCACAGGTGTGGGATACTCAAAGACAAAATCCAACCTCTTCAGCCAAATGGATCCGTGACTTACAAGCTCCGTAATTGTCACTGGCTTTTGGAGGAAATCCGAAGCTAGACTTTCAAAGGATGAAAAGACAGAATTGCAAAGGAAAGGCTCTGCAAGGCTGATCAGCAAGTTCTTCACTCTCTGAGAAAATGTCATACGATCTGTATTGAGTGAGAACATCCGTGGGACGTAGGATGGTGGGTCTGGACTCTGAGCAGCATGGCTGTCTATAGCACAAGGGATACTCCGCAAAAAATAAATGCTAGGGATAGAAAAGTGTAAAGCAATGATTGGTCCGCAGAGTGACAAGGGATCTGTAAAGATAGCATCAAACTTACTTTCTTCGATATATTTCATCAGCTCTTTGTTGTACAGCAAAGATTCACAGGAGTCTTTAAATATGTTAGAGGTCTTTTTAAAAGTCTCCCACATGTTATAAAATCTGGCCAGAAATGGCTTTACACTAAAAGCTTGCTGACCAAAGAAGTGCACAAATTTGTCAAACTCTTCCTTGTTAAAAGGTGTAGGGTATGTCTTCAGAGTGTATGTCGTGGAAGAATCTATGAGCATACTGCTTTCTGGTGCCATGACAATTATTTCATGCCCTCTCTTGCTCAGCTCACCCAGCACCATCTTCATGCTCAGCCAGTGACTGCCCTCCATCGGTATGACCAGCAGCTTCCCCGCGGCAGCGGAGCCGAGGCAGCACAGCAAGGGGAGCAGTGCTGCAGCCAACGACATGTTGTGAGTCTGCGCGCAGGGAGGCCAGGGCCAGCTTTTGTAGATACGCTCCGCCTACGCAAACACGCCTCTTGCTCAAGTTCTCTTTCTGTACCTCTGCCCTTCAACTGGTGTCATGTTCTAGGCATTTAGAACTTTGCACGCAATGGCATTCACAGCAGAAGATTAATGATTATAGAAGTTAGAAATGGGTGTTGCGCTTTGAAATCAGTTTTGTGTGAGGAAGAGGTGTAACTCCTACCACATACTCCACTCACAGAAGTTGTGAATACAGCTCACCATTTCTCACGCCCTTTCTCTTCTGGCAATATTTGATCCTGAGCCTCGTGGTCCTTCTTAGCGTTGGTAACCCAACAGCTTGGACCCCTACTCATCTCCCATTGGTTGCCCAAACCACAGCTACCCTGATCTAGCCTCTTCACCTTTCTTGTATTTGAGCACAGCACACTGGGATAGAGGGGGCTGCTGGATGAATCAGCACAGTTCTGTGCGGGCTGATTGCAGGAACTACATGGAGTTCAAACAACTACTGGCCTGAGGAGACCTGAGGCGTATGGTAGATGTTTATTGAAAGCTGCTAGTGCACGATCAGTCTTACCTTTTCGCTTAATTGCCCTTGCATGCTACCAGGTAGTACTAACTAATAGCTGTTAGCATGAGCAGAAGTCACACGAGCTTACAGCTATTTACATAGCCTGCTCCTCACACCAAGTACAAAATTCCTCTTTGAAATTCATGTAACTTAGATAGGCTTCTCCCCTTCTTGAAGCTGATGCCTCCAATGAAGAGGCTCTGGGGACTCATATGAATGGCACCTCATTATTCAGAGACCTTCAACAAACTCTTGCTGAATGCAAATCTCTCTGGAGATGTATCCAGTGTCCTGGAATCTGTTTTGGAAGTCCCTAGAGCGCAGTCTCTCTAACATGCTGACAAGTGAGTTCAGCCTCATAGGGAGTTTTCCACAGGCTTTGTGGACCTTGGGACATATGAAACAGTATTTGGACATTTTCTAACATGCACAGAATGGGCAGACAGAAACGTTACCAGGACTACTGCATATAGTATTATTTGAACTATAGAGAGTGCACCAAAATTACTCTTTTCCAGATGGTGTGGGAGTTCTCTGTTGTACTGAGGGCTGTCACAGTTGTTACAGACTGTAGGAATTTGGTATTTTTATGATCATTTTCTTTTCTAGTGAAACTGAAGCCAACTGTACGGTGAAACATATCTTATAGTAAAGGTACATATGGAAAAACAATCTTGACATACCTGTTTTTGACCATTTTAAGAACCCAAACGAATTGCTACAATTGAGAAAAAAAGGCTTTTTTCTTCCATTGATTCAAACTTCCATTTTTAAAGGTAAGTAGCCAATTGAAAGAAATTCTCCATTTCTACATGTAACTTCCATCCAACCACTTATCCCTTTAGTTGTAAAGCTAAACAATAAAACAAAATTTCACCAGTGGATCTCAGATAACACATGCCAAGAAAAGATTTCTAGTTCATGAAGTCATGAGTTCATGACTCATGTCAGTTTAGTTCATGACTAAAAAAAATCTTGAACTCTGCAGTAGTTCATGACTCCTTCTCAGTCATAAATTGTAGGGGTTTTAAATGTGATTTTGCAATGACAATAACTGCTTACAGTGAAAGTTTATACATAGGTGCCTGGAGAGAAGCACTCCCCAACCAAGAAAAAAATAAAAGTGCTTTGGGGAATGATCATCTCCTCCAGGCCATTCAAGGCTTTATCTCTGTGGTGAGCCTTTCTTTCACATGAAGTTTCTGCATAGTTATTTCCAAGTCTTGTGTGGAAGTTTCAACCTTATTGTGACCCTATGTTCAAAAAGAGCTGCTAGCTCTATTGCTGGCACCGTCCCACCATCAGCAGCTTATGACTCAGGAGTTACTTAATGGGAATTTCTGAACAACTCTTGCAACAGAGCTACTGTTCACATCCACTGAAAAGGCTGCCAAATGAATACTTCTTTTCTACAATGTCCAATGCTTGAATATACCTTTCTTGCTTTATACCTGCTACAGAATATACTGCACTCTATTCAGATGCTTGTTTGGTACCCAAAGATAAGACTATGAATTTATACAAGATCCATGACCTGAAGAACTTAAAATCTAATTTCTTTTTTTGAGTGATAGGCTTTGGTTTCTAGGAGGATAGGTTTTAAAATGTTAGCAGTCTCGCTGCAGCTGACACTATTTGCATCTCTCTCCACATGTGCATTTTAATCCTCATCTATTTTTCTCTCTACTTTTTCTCATTTGATATAGATGCCTTGACATAATGGAAAAGATGGAAAAGATAGAAATAAACCTATATGGCAAACAGATGTGACAGAAGAAGAATTAACTTTTAGCTGAAATATTAGTCCAAGAACCTTCAATGTATGTAAAAGGAGACTGGATACATGGAAGTATCCCCAGATACATTTGTACCCCTGCCAACAGTCCCAATGCCAAGACTGCCTTCAACACCAGACCTGGGTGCCTTCCATCCCACCAGCTTCTTATGTGACCATCACCAGAACTGAGTAACACCGAGAGCACTCAGCTCCCACTGCCCACAAAGCCTCAGTTGCTCCTGGCAGGCCAGGATGTGCCTGAGGCATCTGGATGGACTGTGCATGAGATAGCTGGGAAGGGAGGACAACATGGAACAGACAAAGGGCAGGTTTTGCTTATGGACATTCCTCAGGCTGTTCCTTCGCAGTAATATAGCCAGGTTGTCCTTGTGGGAATGGTTTTTATTGAGATGGACATGGAAAAAGCATCTTAGATGAAACAGAAACTATCAAGTCTGGCTCGTATTCAGGATTAAAGTTTGCCAAAATTCAGACTAGCATCACTGAGCAAAACAGCTTGTTGTTTCTACAAAATTTGCATGACACTTAAATTTTCATGCCTGACACGGTTTTAGATTGCCAGGGAATTTAAATAAGATTTAATAAGATTTAATGTTACTACTAGATAGTAGGAGATAACATTTCTCCTAGGAGATAACATCAGGTAGTATTCATCATTATATTTCTATCTTTAAATACTAAGCTGTTGTTCATTTTCAGTGTAAAATTTCTACATATTTCAGTTCTTGCCCTTTCAATAAACATAAAATTCCATACCTGAGACAGCTTTTCCTTCTTTTCACAGTTTATGCCTCCAATAAAAACCATGTTTGGCATCACTGGCCTCGGGAACTCAAACACAAAATCGTACCTCATTAGCCAAACAGATCCATGTCTTAGAAGCTCTGTAGCAGTCACTTTCTTCTGAAGAATTTCACGTGCAAGTTCTTCAATGGGACTGAAAATTGGCTGACAGTAAAAAAGCTCCAGCATACTGACCAGCAAGTTCTTCACACGCTGAGAAAATGTCATGTGATCTGAATTATTCAGGAATAATCTGGGGACATAGGAAGGAGGATGTGGACACTGGGTAGCTTCAAAATCCAAACCACACGGAAATCCCCTCAAGAAATAGACAGAAGGAATGGAAAGATACTCAGCAATTACCGGTCCACACATCAGAATTGGATCTGTAAGAATCACATCAAATTTGGTCTCCTTCAGCTCCTGCATCAAGCCTTCATTGTGCAGAAGGCTCTCACAAATGGCAAAATAGAACTTGGAAATATCTAATACGCTTTGATACATTGTAAGAATAATATTCAAAACAGATTGTTTGATGAAATGAACATTAATAAATGAATTCAGTGTAAGAGCTAAGTGTTCATCCGCAAAAGGTATTGGATATACTTTCAATGTATAGTTCTGATGCTCCTTTGGCTTCATAAACAAACTTGTTGATGGTACTAGCACAACAGCTTCATGTCCCTTTTGCTGAAGTTTCTCCACTAACGAGCGCATGCTGAGCCAGTGACTTCCATCCTGAGGTATCACCAGAATCTTTCCGCCTTCAGTAAATGTTAAAGACGATGTCAGAAGAAGAAATATCACAGTACACTGATAAAATTGTGTAAATGCAACAGCCATTTTGATGGAAGGAAACGGGAATATTCTCCTCTAGAGACATCCAACACAGACTTTTATATGAAGGTCTTGTAAGCTTTAGCTCTCTGCAGGAAACTTAACTGATTGCACAGGTAAATGTTTAACTTTCACAGTATTATCCTGGTTATCCTTCAACATTTAACCATAATTGCTCATATAACAGAGAAGAGATTACATGCCCCCATTTGTACTTTCAGTTAATTTTTAAACTTAGAAGTAGGTCATCATATTCCTTTTTTAAGGTTACTAGAAAGATCAGAGTTGTCATCTCTTAATATACTTAAGGTTAATATCACTGAGTTGATAATTATCAAGTCAGAAAACAGACCTGTTTACTTTGAAGACAACCTTTAAACTAAGTCCAGCAGACTAAATGACCATTTCTTTTACAGGCCAGTCAAATAAGTGTAATGCTTAACGTGTATGTAGAAGGCTGATGTTAAATTCCCACCTCATCTGCATGTATCATAGCTACCAGGCTTAGGCAATCCCAGGTCTGTGGAGGAGCGGGGAAGAAAAGAACAACCTGCCCTGACTTTTCCCTCCACGTCACTAGGCAAAAAGTAAGGTAGATGATGAGTTTGTAACAGATGAAAACAAAGGAGGCCAGGATAGACTCCCTACAGCCAGGATTGCTTAGCACAGGAAGGGAGAGTCTTGGTCTTGGATTACTTCCCTGAGAACCCTGTTTATGTACTGCAAGCAAGACAAAGTCTGGGTTAAGATATGATAACTTTTACTAAAATCATTGATATCACACATGTGCATGCACATGCAACACACCCTACATTCAACAAACACGAAAAACATCTGAGCTCTCTTCCTTTCACAGATGGGTACATGGGTTAAAGTGGACAACCATAACCAGCTCCTAACCCTAAACTGCAAACTTGTCCCTCCTCTTCCACATTCTCTTTTGCACAATGGACCATCTTTCTCGGGAGGAGAGATCTTCCCCTGATTAAATTAGCCTGAACATGATACCTGGAGCTGTAGGTTTGAATCATGCCTTGAGGGAGGCATGAGTTGTCCCTAGAGTTCATGTTGCCTGAGGAGGATCTGATTATATTATGGTCATTATGGAAGAATTTGGTGGAAACATCCCTGTGTGGGTTTCCAAACAGAGCTATGACTGGGGTGGTGCAGGGCCCTAGTTTGCTGGCATTCACTGCCTTGCTCTGGGAACCTGCAGTGAACTGAGGCCCTCAGGGCTGTGTTGGAGGAATGTTTTGTCTTTATGCAAGTAAGAGCAATGCCAAAGTCTTTTGGCAGGTGCTAAGGAAGAGATCCCCCTGAACAAAAGATCTGATTGTAAACTATCAGCAGCATTAAGAAGGTTTTTTTTTTTTTTCCTACACCATTTCCTTTATAAGCAGTGGTCGAAATCCCAACATCTTTAGTGTGGAGCATCAGACCCTTGCCAGCAGGCAAAGGGGCTTGTACATGCAAATTGCACCAACACCTTCCAGAAAATCAAGACTTAAATCTCTGAGCTTATTAGAAGAGTTGTGAAAGGAAATGACCAAATTCCTGCACATTTGGATATGATTTTCGCTGCAGTAGTGTTGTGAGAAACCACAGAAGAGAAAGCATGAAAGGTCATGTTTTCGCTGTTGTTGCTGGTACATTATGAGAGAATACAGACAAAACAGCAAACACTGGTCAAAGATGAAGGTGAGAACCAATGTATCTTCAGGGAACTGTCTGAAACTGGGCAGTGGGACCAAAACAGAGTCTTCTGGGCCAAAATGAGGTCATATATGGAAGTGAGTTCTGGGATGTCATCGAATGGACATGGAAAGATGACCCCCCAGGGGTCTCAAAAGACCACCAGAGCCCACCAAAGGGACAGAGGACACACGCGGCAAGAGTGCGGTATGTTGTAATTAGTTCCGGGAAATAGAATGAATATGTAGGATCATTCCTAGAGTTAATGCATATGTAGATAATAGAGAAATAAAAGATTTAGCAAACACACCATAGGGCATGCACAACAGGTGGAGCTATACCCTGTGCATCCAGCACATCAGTAAAGTGAGCGCCTGGTGACAGCAGGGTGGACTCCCTGCTCTTCGTACCAGACAATCAGATCTAAAACTGTGGTAAGGAACAAGAGGAAGGAAGGACAGCAAAAAGGACAGGAGAGAAATGAGGGACAAACCCTTTTAACAGGACACAGAAAACAGCACACTAATGCTTTCTGATTAATGCAGAATAAAATAAGGCCAGATCTAAGCTGAGTACTTCAGAAAAGAAACAATCAGGTAAAAATCAGGTTCATTAAAAAAAAAAAGAATTTAAAAAGGGGAGGGGGTAAGTTCACAGGTATTTGTTGTTCCTTATGCAGTAGCAGAGGGCACCTGGGCCCTTGCAGGTGTTAAGTGTCTGGTGCTCATTGCTAATGACTGCTTGTTATTTCTGAGAAGCTTGAAGGACCACATGAGCAGAGCACTTAAAAAAGGAGACCAGGGTGTCAGCTCTTGATGACTGTGAAAAGGTTGGCATAGGCTTGGCCTCCTTTGCGTGGCAGCTCTGTTGAATGGCATCTGATTCAGAAACAAGGTTTTATCCTTCCCTGCTGGCTATTAAAGGACAGAATATATCCATTAATCAAGGCTTACATTTGGGTCACCCCAGCTATGGTCAGAATTGTGCTCCATCATGGAATGGCTCTTGCAATATGCTTTGTGTGCATGGCAGACAAAAAGCTGGGTTGTTCTAGGATGTCCCCTTGGACAAATGCTGAGCTCTACAGCAATGAAAGCAGTGCTGCGTGGGCATGGTAGCCACGTGGAGAAGTTGAGCTTGCTTGGACTGACTTTCCACGATCCATGATCATGCTGAGGGATCTGGAGGCAGGTGCCCTTGCCCTAGGATTGCTTTACCTGCTCTGAAAATACATGTCTTGGAAATGGGCTCGCTGTGAAATGCGGATTCCTTCTAAGAAGGGTAGCAATTGCCACTAAAGTGCCACTAAGGGAAGAGAAGCAAATGGACTCCTCAAGAGCTGCTTGCTCCGTGAGTAGAACTGGACTCGGGTCTATTTCTTGAGCCTAATCCAGAAGTGCTAGTTTTACCTATTGCTTTTGCTTTCCTATGGTTACATTATATTGTCCATCTCCTTATGCTCTGAGACTGATAGCTTACAAGTAGTAAAATGCTATTCACATGCATACTCGTGTAGACTATATCCCAAATCTTCACTGATGGATTAGGCCACGCATTGTTGTGTAACTGAACTCAGTCCATTTTGATGCTACACAATGACAGGCAAAAAGGATTACAGGAAAATGCACAGGGCTAGCAACAGCAGGAACCTTTACAATAAGTAAAGGATACTTTACAATAAGTGTTAAAAGAGAATATCTATTTTTTTAAATGCATGATTGAAATTGTGTTAAGAGTACCTGTTAAGAAATAGAAATGAAATCATATCTGAGTTTTGTCTATATGTATTTGTCTCAAAAGATACTATTTCAGTTCAAAATATACTATTTATTTTCATTCCATCTGGAAATGTAGGTTTCGCCATAACCTACAAACAGCAATAAAATCATAGATAGCCAGTTAGGAAACCATACGTCACAAAAATAAAACCAAGGCAAATTAACTGACTTTGTTGAACTTAGAAAATTTAAAAAAAAATTCTCAGTGCATGTTCTTTCAATTTTTAGCTGAGAGAAATGTATGCCAGAATGCATGAAAATGAAACCATCTGGTCAGTGAATAAAATACATACATTGAGGATAGTAATTTGTAGTTAGCAGATGAAATAGCATTTTTGTTGGACTTGTCAGAAAATCCTCATTAACCTAAGTAACAGACATCTGCCTCTATCAAGATAATACTGTGTCAACCTGTGGTAACCATCTCCCAAACAAAAACATCAAAAAGAAGCTTCCAACAGCACAAAATCTCCACAAACCATGTAACCACAAACCATGCATTTCATTGGTATAATCCAGAAAAAGAGAACTTGCCTTTGACAGGGGTTTCCTCTCAGCACAGTTTATACCTCCAATAAAGATCATATTGGGCATCACTGGTCTGACATACTCAAACACATAGTCAAATCTTAGCAGCCAAATAGAAGCAGGGCTCAGAAGTTCCATCAGGGTCACATCTCTCTGAAGAAGTTCAGAGGAAAACCTCACAGCCTCTGAATAGAAATGGTCACAGTAGCCAAGCTCCAGGATTGCAACCAGTGCGTTTTCCACTCTCTCAAAGAAAGTCATGCGGTCCGAGTT